GTAAAAATCGACGCGTTTCAAAAAGGCGGGGCATAGAGGAGAAACAATAATGTACAGTATGTGGAAAATAATGTGTTTTTTTAACTTTAAACTGCATAAACACATTTCATTACACCAAATACACATCATATGACTCCTTTAAGTCCAAATATGTGAGACTGATAGTGTTGGATTCAACAGAGAATTCAAAATTTGAAAATAAACTAGCATTTGAACATTTTGAAAAATTACAGAAAAGGAAGAAAAAAATTTGGATTCTTCGCTATTTCTAGGTCACTAACCAACATTCATTAACATGAAATTGGATAACGTCACCAGGACTTACACTTGCTTCATGGAGCCCATGCCAGCTAAAATGCATAAAGTCATTACATTTACATGCATTAATACAAGTATTGAAATCACTTACATGAGACCAAAAACTGAGCAAAAATATGCAGTTTGGTGTAGTTGCTGATATTTATATGGCCAAAAAGATGAAATTCTGATATCTTGTAATGTAAATCAATATAGTATACTATCAGTATAGCAGATTACTTGCATCAAATGCATATAAATATCATTTGTCACTCAATATATCCCAATAATGTGTCTTAGTAAAATGATACTTAAATGTTTAGCTTTATGAAGCTCTGTAGTATTCAATGTGGGGGGCAAAACATATAATGCAATGCAATACATTGATACAACCTGATGTATCATATTTGATACTCACATTTTAACATGATTTTTCTAAAATGTATACATGGATAATCAAGTTGCTTCAGTCTAGTAAGTGAAATATTACTAACAATGTAAAAGTTATTCTTATGTTTACATGATAAAAAAGACATGTGTACCACGACTTGAAGATTAGACATTTTTTAGAATGATACTAATAGCCCTATTACTTCCTAAAAATGTGTCAATTATCAATCATACAATAAGAGGGATGCAGCTGATTGTGTACAACAGGTTTTTCAGCAGAGTTTTAAACATGCTGATAATTTAGTTCTTTTTTTAGATTTGTATGTCAAATATGGTTTAGTTGGCTTTATATAGGGTTAAACTGACAAAAAAAACACCTCCAGATGACCCAGAATTCTATGAAAGATTCTCCAGTGACTTGAAAGACTAAGAATAGTAAACATGTCTACATTGTTTGAATGATAAAGGGGTATAAGGAGATTTCTTTCTCTCTCTCTATCTCTCTGTGTCTTACAGGACCATCATTTAAAGCCAGTAATCTGAAAGCAGAGAGAAAATTGGAATTTATGCCTACCAACCTCCATGTGCAGAGAATGAGGGTTCAAGATGAGTCTGGCTGTGGTTAGATCTATTTCATTCATTCTGTGTACTTATTGTATTAGTCATCCTTTTCCCCTTTTTTTATTACCCTCCATTTGAAAGTTTATTTTCACTGCTCTATATTCTTGTTGGGCACTTTGGTATACGTGCTCTTTACTGAGTCAGTCCCAGCAGGCAGTAGGAGTTGTTATTCCAAGCACTTTGCACATGTCAATAGTCTCTCATTCAGAAGTTTTCATACACTCAACACAAAGACACACTCAGACGATCACTGATGTTCTTTTAGTTTTGACCCCCCCCAGTCTTGCATTTACACTTCCCAAGCTATAGTGCTACATGAAAGTGACATTTCTTTAGAAAAAGAACTGTAGTAGGGCTGCACGATAAATCACATGCGATTTATCATGCAGCCCTAAACTGTAGCATTACATCTGTCCCAAATAATAGAGTAAAACTGAAAAAAAAATAATAATAATCGACATTAGTCATTGATAGAGGTAGGTGAGTTTGGGGTAATGAGAAAATACATCACTGGAATGCGAAGTAGCATATGGAAGCCTACGACTTTTATTTTTTATTTCTCACACTTCTGACACTTGTGACTCACAGTCTTGACTTCTCGCAACTTTATGTCTCCTAATTGTAACTTTATATATCACAATGCGGTTTCTCATGACTTTCACATAAGTTGTGACTTTTTATCTTGCAGTACGATTGTACCTCACACTTGTGACTTAATATTAGGGCTGCACGATAAATCGCATGCGATATTTAACGCGCATCTTGTCAGAAAGCCGGTTCTGTAATCAGCGGTAAATCTCCATCACCTGCGTGCTTTCACATTGAGCAGCATTAACTACACAGAGCCGTTGTTCACTGATGAGCTGCGCAAAAATGAACGTGGTTTTGCGCAGCTCGTCAGTGAACAACGGCTCTGTGTAGTTAATGCTGCTCAATGTGAAAGTCCGCACATGATGGAGATTTACCGCTGATTACAGAACCGGCTTTACTGATAAGATGCGCGTTAAATATCGCATGCGATTTATCGTGCAGCCCTACTTAATATCTTACAATGCATCGTCTTGTGACTTTTTTTTATGTATTTGCGACTTTTTATCTCATAATGTAACTTTACTGTATAGTTCACAATGCAACTATTTCGCGCATTTGCAAATGTATATCTCGCACTGTGACTTTATGCCTCCCAATTATGTATTTTTATCTTGCAATGTGATTCATTACTCACAATGTGCCTTCTCTTGACTTTATTTTCCCATTGTAATTGCAACTTATCTCAGAATGCAACTTTATTTCTCATATATGCAACATTATATTTCACAATGCAACATTATTTTTCATAATTCCAAATTTATATCTAGGCGTCCTACTATATCTCACAATTGTGACTTTATATCTCGTAATGTAGCTTTATCTCACAACTTTGTATCTACGACTTTATTTCTTATTTTAAGCTCTGTCTCATTATCTTTTTTAAATTTTTACTCTGAGGCAGAATGGATGTGAGATACATGTATGTTACACTGCTGATCTTCTTCATGGCAATGTGCAGTCACTGTTGTTCAATTATTTTCAACTACTGACAATAATTATATATTAAGAACTAAGTTGTTCATCTCATGACATGGATTTGTGTGTTTGTGTATCTAGATCACACCTATGATGTGGTTACGATCGGGGCCCCTGCAGCTCACTGCCAGGGCTTCAAAAACGGTGGTTTGCGGAAACTATTACAGAAATTTGAGGAGGCAAAAAAAGTGTAAGTTATGTTTGTCTGTCTAGTTTTGAAAATATGCAAGATATGAACTGAGTGTACTGTACGTGTGTGTTCGCATGTACGTGCATGTGTTGCATGTGAAGGAAGAGCTATCATGTGATTTAAGTTTCAGGTAATGACCTAAGTCACAGGTGGCATTTTAGATCTGTTTTGTTAATCGCTTGTCTTGTAGTTTCACTGAAGTAAATTTGATCTGTTTCCTTTTTGCTGTAATGTGTTTACAAGAAATAAATTTGTGTGAGTTAATTCAAGGATAAAACTATTCAAACAACCTTTAGGAACATTTAAAATCACACTAGCCATTTGCTAGCTTTATCATTTCATATTGAACAAACTATTGTATTTATAGCTGTACAGTATTTTTTTTCCTGTTAATAATGTAGAATGTATATTCTGCTTTCAAAAGCATTGCTCTCATTAGTGTTTATCACCTTCTCTTTGGCTTCTTTTGGTTGTGTGTTGGTTTGCTAGTGTTACATTATTAGCAGTTTTCCTTTAAGAGACACTCTTAGTTTATTTTTCATACGTTTTAATTGCATTTTTGCTTTCTAATCAGCATTTATGAGGAGGAATGGTGAGTTAGTTTGAACTTATTTTTTTGTTTGTTTGTTTTTTTGTGGCATTTATTGCATGACATCTCTGATTTAAAACTTTGTGAGCTGCAGCTTTATATCCAGAGCTCATCTTATGCATTGTGGTATTGCCTTCGATGTTGCCTTAAAATTTGGAGGCAACATAATTAGATTGCCTATGTTTTGAAACAGCCTTTGCGCCGGATGAGCGCATATGATGTCTACGCTGCCTCACTATGTTTTGGAACAGAACAATATTCATTATTCTGTGATTCCATCATCCCTTCTCTGTGGTCACTAAAAACAAAAAAGAGTAATAGGAGTGTGT